TGCGACGAGGCCGAGATTAGTTCTTTTCGACCCAGTATGCTTCTGCTGACACTCGGCAATATGGCCGATTTTCAGTTTTGTCACGAATAGTTGCCTTCAGAAAGCGATCTCTCTTTGGCGTTATAGTCAGCACTGCGTTGTACCCCTTTCGTGTTGATAATGCTGGTATATTTCGTGGTCAAGTTTGTTCTCATGGTATTATCTTGAGCGCAGCGTGACGTTGTAGCCTGTCTGCTAGAGAACGTCGCGATGTGATGTGAATTGTTGTTTTTCTTGCTCAGATTACGAACCAAAAAAACTGTTTGATCACTTCATAAGCGATTATCGCGAATTCCACGGTTCCAAGGACAATTTCAAGACTCGTCGGCAGCTCATTTTTTTTTTGGTAAGCTTTTTTAATGGGAGTACCCCGTCTTTCGGGCGTATTTAAAAAACATGCTCTGGTCAAACCGCAGAGCCAATTACATGTAATTGTGGCACAGGGTAGTGCCATTGCGTCCCCATGAATTTATCATAATGAGGAGATCGGTTTGAATTATTTTCGGGGTCCAAATTACCTTGTCAACGCCTCGCAATAACATTAAACTTCATTCTTGGTAGCCCCAGAGCGAAGCCCTTGTCGCGACTGTCGTCATGACGACGGTGGAATTCTGCTTAGGGCCGTCGTCGACTGTTACGCTACGGACTAGAGGTACTACCTTTGGGCTGTTTAAAGCCGCCCATTGCAGCCGTGGAGCTTTAAAGTTGCACCTGTCCCAGCTTCAGTGATACCAGTACAAGTGAACGTTTCTGGTTGGTGCGTTAGATGATGAATGTCATTTACCGAGAAACGCATTGGTTGAAGCGTGAACCAGTGTGTCACTGAAGACCATGCGATACTATGTTTCCCAAAGCCAACAAGCGTTTCGAGAAGAGCCACTACACTAGACGCTATTTGGGAGAACCGGAGGCCAAAATATAATGTTTCATTGCATTCGTGCGATGATAGCTCATGTTTACATATGCTTTCCCTAAATAGAGCGCTTTCGTAAAATGCGTTGCAAAAACATTCTGACGAATTAGTGTATCGCTTTCATTGGGGTGAAGATGGAGTCTAATGACATTTCTCCCGCCGTAGCGCTTACTTCGAATCGGAAGACTGAGCTGTTCAGAAGGCTTCCAGGAAAACGCATTGCCGATGAATGTGAGGCGTCTGATCGAACAATGCTTGAAAAGTGCAGCAAAGGTGGCATACTCGCTTTAACTATTCCGTTTCGAGTTATGTGTGTTGTGGCAGGAGTAAGGATGCGTCTGTGAGTGTGGCGGGAGCGGGAGTATGCGCCCGTGAGAGTAGCGGGAGTGTAATAACTTGCCTGTGGGAGGGATAGGAGTGTGACGATGCGTCTGTGAGAGTGGCGGGAGTGTAATGATGCGTCTATGAGAGTAGCGGGAGCGAGAGGACGTAGTCGGCAGTGGCCGAAGCGTGAAGATGCGTCTGGCAGAGTGGCCGAAGCGTGAAGATGCGTCTGGCAGAGTGGCCGAAGCGTGAAGATGCGTCTGGCGGAGTGGCCGGAGCGTCAAGATGCGTCTGGCAGAGTGGCCGGAGCGTGAAGATGCGTCTGGCAGAGTGGCCGAAGCGTGAAGATGCGTCTGGCGGAGTGGCCGGAGCGTGAAGATGCGTCTGGCAGAGTGGCCGGAGCGTGAAGATGCGTCTGGCGGAGTGGCCGGAGCGTCAAGATGCGTCTGGCGGAGTGGCCGGAGCGTGAAGATGCGTCTGGCGGAGTGGCCGGAGCGTCAAGATGCGTCTGGCGGAGTGGCCGGAGCGTCAAGATGCGTCTGGCGGAGTGGCCGGAGCCGTCAAGATGCGTCTGGCGGAGTGGCCGGAGCGTCAAGATGCGTCTGGCGGAGTGGCCGGAGCGTCAAGATGCGTCTGGCGGAGTGGCCGGAGCGTGAAGATGCGTCTTGCGGAGTGGCCGACGTGTGAAGATGCGTCTGGCAGAGTGGCCGGAGCGTGAAGATGCGTCTGGCGGAGTGGCCGACGTGTGAGGATGCGTCTGGCAGAGTGGCCGACGTGTGAGGATGCGTCTGGCAGAGTGGCCGGAGCGTGAAGATGCGTCTGGCGGAGTGGCCGACGTGTGAGGATGCGTCTGGCAGAGTGGCCGACGTGTGAGGATGCGTCTGGCAGAGTGGCCGGAGCGTGAAGATGCGTCTGGCAGAGTGGCCGACGTGTGAGGATGCGTCTGGCAGAGTGGCCGACGTGTGAGGGATGCGTCTGGCAGAGTGGCCGGAGCGTGAAGATGCGTCTGGCAGAGTGGCCGACGTGTGAGGATGCGTCTGGCAGAGTGGCCGAGTGTGAGAGAATGCGCCGGTTGGCCACTTCTTCGTTGGTCTCTTTGCAGTCCCCCCCCCCCCCCGCCCCAAAAGCGTCATCAACATCATCACGGAGCGTAAGACCTGTTGAGATCTGTTGTGTCAATGTCGTGGCAGATTGTCGCGGCAGATGACCCGCCGGCCTGCTGTCCCGTACGGATCAGATGGTGGCTGGCAGCTGGAGCGGGCCTGTGTCGTGACGCCGCGCCCTCTGCTGTTCATCGGGGCTGGCCCGGAAGCCGCTCTGACCCGCTGCTTAGCCCCTGTTCCTGCAGAACGGACGGGGTTCCCTGACGGCGACGCGTCCACGTGACCGGCCGGTGCCGCCCCGCAGGTCGAGCGGGAGCGGGCCCTGCTGGCCGAGCTGTTCCGCCGCAGCCGCGCACACGCCCGCCGCGCCGGCACCCGCCGCCGCGTGAGGGCGCCAGCCTGCTGCTGGTCGATGACGTGGAGGTACGACTGCAGGATGACCGGGTGGCCAGCCGTGCCCTGACCTCCACGCGCCGGCGGCAGCTGATGCGGCAGGCGCGCAAGGCCGAGCGGCGCTTCGAGTGCGAGGTAAGCTGCTCAGGCTCAGGCGATAGTGATGCTCGCTGAGATTTTTTTAACTTGCTGTGATACGTGTGTTGAACTCTGATCCAACAATGTCTTGCTTCAGGCATCAGGGGTGGTGGGGTGGCTTCTTTCACCGACGGCTTGGGACGTAAGGCGTACGCTCGGAACTTGTGCGGTTCTGTAGGTTGTTTGGCTAGTCACGTGCCTGTTGTTCGTTTATTCGGCAATGCTTGCCGAGAGCCGAGGTCCTCGAACTCGCTGTGGCGTTGTTGACAGGCGTGCGGCAAGCGATTCCGCGCGTTCAGCCACCGCGTCGAGCACATGCTGATCCACGTCAAGGAGCAGCCCTGGTCGTTGCCCGCACTGCCCCAAGAGATTCCGCACCAAGTCGGGCGCGCACGGCGCACCAGCGGGTGCACGCGCCTGCTGCCGACGGCTTCGCGTGCACGCTGTGCGAACCGCCGACTCACCGACGCTGCCCTCCCTCCGCCAGCACGTGCGCACGCACTCGGCGCGCAAGCCGTTCACGTGCGACACGTGCGGCCACGCGTTCGCGCGACGCAAGGACCACGCCGTGCACGTGCGCCAGCACACTGGCGAGCGGCCGCACGCGTGCCCGGAGTGCGCGCAGACGTTCGTGGCGCGCTCGCGACTGAACCGGCACCTGCTGCTGCACCGCGACAAGCAGTTCACGTGCGGTTGCGGCCGTGCGTTTCGGCGGCGCTACGAGCTGGAGCGGCACGCGCGCGCCTGCGGCCAGCCGGCGGCCGCCGAGCCGCTGCCAGTGACCTACCTGTCGGCGCTCGTGCTGCCCGAGCCGACGTCCACGCTCTACTACCAGGTGGTGACGCCGGTGACGGCGGCGCCGGCCGAGAGCGAGCCGCCGGCCGTGGCTGCGCCGGAGGCGGACCGGCCGCCGGCCGCCGCCGGTCAGGTACTGGTGCCCTCCTACTGACAGGGGTCGGCGCCGGCGGTGGCGGGATGGTGCGCCCGGCTGCCGCGAGAGGATTCACCGCACAGACCTTCCTCGGTTGTGAATCTTGACCGCGACAGCGCGAGCGGACGCGAAGCTTCAGCTCGGGTTGGGGGCCAGCCACTGGCTTCTGGCTAAGGATGTTACAAACGTTGCAGCTATGTCAACTCGTATTTGGTCTTGTTGCTGATGCGGCCGTCTCTGGCGAGTGTGGGGATCTGGTCCAAGTGCATGTAGCATTGAGTCATTGCGTATTTATTGGAACGCTGGTAACCGTCTCAGTCGTTGGGCAGACACAGACGGAGGTCGCGAACAACAGTAAGAAAAAAGACGACTGAAGTTCTCAGAAGTTGTAAAGATTACGTCAAGGGTGGCGGGGTACGAGCCCGGATGCCAGACTTGACGCGCTGGCACTCGATATCGCACTATTTTTGTCGCATACCGGGCCGCTCGTTCGTTTTATTGCGGGCGTCCCGAGCTTCTCTGCGGCGAGTGTATCTGGGCGTGAAATATTGTCCTGCCGCGTTGCCCCCCCCCCCCTTCCGAAGTTAAGACGTGCATGGTCATGGTGTGTGAGCCGGTGTAAACACGCGACGGTAAACAAGCCTGGCTGCCGTGCTTGTATCGCTGAGGTATAAGGGCACATGATATGAATTATGGCTTTGACTTGTTGATTACTCTACGACCCGGATCAGACCACTGATTTGAGTTGTGAACGACTCCTGAGTATCAGCAGGGCCTTTGTGTGCAGGATTTATGACAGTCCTGAGCACAGTGACCGCGGCACTAACGGTCTGGAGTGATATCATGTGTTGACAACGTACATCTCACGTTTTTACAGGTCTTTTTTCATGCATCGTCACTCTGCGCAGTGCGAGTGCGAAATTCACCCACTGTCATGTCAATATATATTTTGTATAGAAATGGTCGTGTTAGGCAGACAATCGACGAAATCGCTCTCGAAAATGACGATTAAAGAGTCTTGCATTTTAAGCAGACTTCCTTCAGAGAAGTCCAGGTGTCATATAAGCATATCACACACGCTCACCCACGGACGTGCCGTCTTCCGGAGCTTGGCCAGACAGACAAGACGCTTCAAGCCACAATGCAGTCGCATCACTCATCACGCATTGTCAATCGATATTGGCCTATCTTTGCGCCGGAACAAGTTCCGGTAAAACTCCGCGAGCGACTTCCGAAGCCGCTTGTTAAAGAGTAGATAGAAGAGATAGTTGGAGCTGAAGTTGGCGATCTCGAGCAGGTTGGCCGCCGCGATCGCCACGTCGAGCGCCTTGCTGGGACTGGTGACGTACAGCAGGTAGAGCGTGGTGACGGTGCCGGGGATGAGGCCCACCACCAGACTGACCATGATGACCACCACCAGCCGGACGAGGGCGCGCTCCTCCGCCGCCAACTGCGAGCCGGGCTCCGGCATGCTGGCCACGCTGGCCTCGCGCTGCGCATGCGGCGGCGGCGAGAGTGCCGCCGCACGCGTCACCATCTGCTGGAAGCCCGCCGCGATCCGCCAGTTGAGCGCGACCAGCGCCGTCATCGGCAGCAGGCGTGTCAAGCACTCGCCGAAGATGACGTAGCCGTTCCAGGCGGCCGAGCTGGCCTGCTCCGCCTGCCAGCCGCCCGGCACGGCGCGCGCCGTGCCGCGGAAGAACCACGGCACCGCCGCGGCCGTCGCCACGCAGAAGACGACGACGACGCGGCGGAGCGCCACCTCGCGCCGGTGCACGAGCTTGAACTCCATTTGCCGGCAGACGGAGACGAAGCGGTCGACGGTGAGCGCCACCACGGTGCCGATCGACGCGCAGGTGGTGACGGCCAGCAGCCACTGCTCCACGTGCGCCGCGTACACGGCCAGCGCGTGTGAGCTGAGCAGCGCCGACGGCGCGGCCAGCCGCACCAGCGTCGGGATCAGGCACAGCATGATGGCCGTGTCGACCGAAGAGAGCACCACCAGGAAGAAGCGCGTGACGCCCCAGCGGCGCGGCGCCGCCAGGCACGGCAGGCAGACGACGTTACCGACGATGCCGGCGGTCACGAGCAGTGGCGCGATGACGCCGTACGTGACGTGGTGTAGCCGGCGCGTGAAGACCGGGTCGGTGACGTTCAGGTACGGGTGGTCCATCTGCGGGTGCGGCAGGGTTTGAGGTGGCGGGTGTAATCATCGGCAGACACACTCAGTTGGAGTTGGGAGGGGATGCAAGAAAACGCAAAGCTCCGAATGCAACGCCGTGGCCAGGGACCTCGGTTGGAGCTTCGACCCTCGGTCGGAACCTCGGTTTTCGGTCGAAACTTTGGTCCTCGGTCCTCAGTCTGTATGAGACTAAACCTTCACATTACTAATATTTGATTATTATTATCAGCTGTGCTGGTAAAAGCCTTTTTGGCTGACAAACTCTCAAATCAAAGCGGCGCACTGCTTCACCGCAGCGTAATGCTGTAACACTGGTGTTACCATTTCGGTGGTAAACTGGTTTGCGAGCTTGTTCGGAATGTCAGCAGTTTCGGAAAAGACGCGTTGCTTTAAGAGCAAATCAAGACCAATGGGTTTGATTGTCACGAGGCGTGCCCAGATTTTTGCAACGGAGGAGCAAACTTCTAAATTTTGTGTCGAAAATCCAGTAAGTCCAGTTACGGTCTAATTTAAAATCCAGTTAAAATCCACATTTTTAGATATTGAAGCAAGCATCAGTTATGATGAAATGAGCTCACTTATCACGGTTGGTATAACTTTAAGTGAAAACTGCTGTTTTAGACAGCACGATTTCGCTATTTAGTAAACATGCTCCTCCACACAACATCGTTGGACTATGCCATCGTACCTTGTACAACATTGTTGGCGAACCAATTGATGGCCGTTACGTCTGGAAATCATGCTCACGAGCGTCAGATATGGACGACTCGAAAATCGACTTGGCCTTGGTCGTCGCATAACCGACGGGGTAGCAAGACTTAAACGACGTTATTATGGGGTCATGGATGCCTCGGTGACCTTGAAATAGTCTCCGAGAAAAGTCTGCACATCTTCGTGGGCTGTAGCTCAGAAACTAGAAGGATTTAGGTCTTAAGAATGACAGATTTGTGAACTGCACCAAACGATCTTCAAGATTGCCATTTCATTTCAAAACCCCACGGAAATGTGGAACACTCTCTTTGGCAAGCCGCAGGTGCGTGTAGTTTATCGCGGGCCGTAAAACAGCATCGTGTGTTCTCGATCTTCTCATTTTGCGTGTTTCTTTCGCCTTTTTAAAATCGATCCATTCACACTAATTAGTAAATGCAATACATTTGAAAAGAAGATGGGGCACCTGAATTTTTAGGCCCCAGAGTATTCAGCGGCGCATAAACTAGCATGTGTCAGAAACCTTCCCAAAGTCAAATGACGGGGTCACATGTCACCCAAACTTTGCAGCCCGACTTAGGATGCGTAGGCGCCAGAATCTCGTTCACCACATCCAGCAAAATGGGCATCATTTTTGACGTTCGTGATATCCACTTTCGTCAAATCTGCAATAAATGACTCTCATGGTAAAAATAAGATCACGAAAAGTGTGGTATTTCGGCACTTCTTCGGTTCCCAAATTGATGCAAGAAATCGGTATCATGTTAATGCTCGTGATGTCCACTATTCGAGTGAGTCTAACTTACCTGCTCGTATGTTCCGCACTATGGTTGAAGTGCAGGGCAGACCCACGGGGCGGACAATAATCTGTTTACACCCCGTTCGCGTACTGAGATGGGAAAACGACGTTTCTCTATTCGCGTATCTAAGATGCACACCGAGCTCCCGCAAAAAGACATATGAAACACATGAAGATGGAAAGACCTGTTTGTACGGCGGAGTCGTGACTAGTGTGTCTGTGCGTGTGTTTCAGTGCGTTTGCTTTTGAATGACTGTCTTTGTCCTCATGACCTAGCCGTTCATCTACCTGCTAACCATGGGTAGTAATAGCCCTGAGTTTACTCGGAATTACCGAAATACACGTCAATCCATCAATCAACCTCCAAAGATGTCCTCAAAACGTCAAAGGTCCTTGTCAAGCAACACGGGAGGTACCCTGGTAGTCACACACACGAAAACAACGTACATGAACACCACGACAGAAGTTCAAGGTACATGCGGATCATGCTTCAACGGAGCACAAGAAATTAATGCTTTAATACGATACGCGTCGTTGTCGTAGATACCTGGCGACTTGAGACCACCAGGTGGTCCCTACTGCTTCAAACTTTTCATATGTATCATTCCCAGCCCCAATTCTATTGACTTCAAAATTGTTTCCCCATATCATACCAGCCTAAAAGCTATGATATACGCACCTTGCGTATATCCTTTAAACACGCTTAATTTATTTAAGTGCAGGCCAACTCATCAAACTCGCTGCAGCGTAGTACTTGGACATGGCTATTTATTTTATGATGATTATCTCATCAGGTTGTTTTGCTAATTTAAGGACAATGAAAAGCTGTTTTTGTTATCTGAATACGTACTTTATGATTAAATAGTGACCTTGGGCTGTATATAGCCTTGGGATGTCCTTGACGCATAAAAGCATTGCATAATTAGCAAATTTCTTGCAAATTTTAAAGTATCACGTTGTCAATGGTTTTTATGCCTTCCCTCGCGTTTTTTCCGCTGTTGCAAAAATGGACAGTGACCTGAGGTCAAACAGAAATAGTAAACCACAGCATTATTCAATTTGTCTTGTCTAAGGCCTGTGAATGCTGTTTAATTGTTGCTTTCATTAAAAAAATATGTGTTATAGGGTGTGCAAGATATGCCTGTCTTAGCATAATAGGTGCCGCGTAGTAAGATCCGTAGTGGCCTTGCGTTATTCGATTACATTTAGCGTTCAAGTCTTTGAAGGTGCATGATCCCCAGTCCTGTTGAATTGTACGGAAACTGAAACTACTGTTCCATCTCATTTCAGCCTGAAGTTGTAGTATAAGCACGGTGTGACCCTGATGACCTGCTTCTATTTCAACAAACCGATCGATTAAATTTCCTACCGAAAAGCTGTGTTATTTACATGCTGGTGATTACCTTTGGAATATCTAATATCAATCTTAACTTTACAAAAAAATCGTTTGCATGTGAATGCGCATCTGATAATTGTAAAGAACACTTAATTGTAATTGACCTTGTCATGTCTCGGACCCCTCATAGCACTGTTTGATAATAAATGCCTGTTTATGCTATAAACGCACAATCTGCTTTTTTCTTGCCGTAGCATGCACGCGTTTATTTTTCAACTTAGCAAACATCAGCTGTGACCTGAGGTCCATATGGTATTGCGTGCAGAGAAGCGTGACACTAACATAACATCGTGCGAAGCGTGACACTAACATTCTCCCCCCCCCCCCCCCAGCTCTAAAAGGGTTCCACGGTCACTGAGAGCCTATGGTAGTCAACTAATGTATAGGATTGAGCACCGCACGGAACGCGCCCATTGATCCGGCCGGCACGTGAGATTATTCGAGTGAATAGATGCCCCGAAGCCGTAGAAGCACTGGCCTGTTTTCTGTTCAAGAGCTGCAGGCTGCTATTCGATGTAGATCACAAGGAAAGTGGTTGGGGTCAAAGGCGTAGTTCCTTGTTCAGTTGCGGGGGGGTCGCAACTTGTGCTCCAACCCCCATTCGAGAGAAGAAAGTGGTCCAAAGACGAGGAGAAGCCCGTTTCTGACTATTTTGCGGGTTGGTTTCGTCATTTTTCACTGTTCGATTCTTCCCACACACACCCATTTCGTGAAACTAAGCCTCCGCTTGGAGGAACACATTTTCGCCTTCCGCCATGATCAGGTGGATAGATGGGAAGGGAAAGACAGGAAAAAGGAGGCGATGCACCCACCGCCGGCGCTGGACCGGCGGCTCAAAACTTCTCGCCAGTTAAAATGTCTCTTTGTCGCGCTGCTCCGTGTGTGAAGTGAAGTGAAGTGAAGTGAAGGCTCGCAAAGCCTTCTGAGACTTGGAACTTTGGGACTGGGACTTCTATACAGCCTTTTTATATTGGGATGCGCGCACGTAAACGGTAGCATAATCGATGCGGTCATCGGTATAAGAACAGCTCTCTGCTGCAGCTGCTACCTCTCTGAACTGTCATGAACGTGTCATGAAATAGAAGGAAATCTTAGGTTCTGAATGCCTGTGAGGGAAAGGGAGGCGACTTTGTACTTTCCGTTTCTGTAGAAGGTTATTTTTCCTCAGTAAACGTATGAAACAGCTGTAAGTTTACCAGAGGAACGTATATACGCTAAATCATTTGTTGTCCGCCAGGGATTCCAATTAACTGACCGACATTAGTTTTGAACATTGCTAAGTGAATGCCAATGCATACTGGCGAGAATTCGGACAGGCAGATTTTGAATTTGTAGGTGAATCGCTTGAGCACTTTGCGTTTAATGCTGATAGTCTGAAATGCCATAGAAATGTCCCACTATGACTTATAAGCTATGTCTTTGGGCCTTCCGCATCCAGCACGCATCAGCTATGCCATAGATGGGAACGAACAGTTGTCCTCCACCCCCCTCTCCCTCCTCCCGCCGCGGCATTTTTCGTTATGCCTAAATGTCATCACTTACAGAGAAAGCTTTCGAACCTTATGCTTCACGCTTTCCCGTGCTGGACACACTGCATGCGTAAGCAGCAGTAGCCATGAAGACAGAACGATATTCTCTAAATTTGAAATTTGAATTTTTAACCAGTGACAGCGGAGCCTCTGCATGCGGAGATTGTGATTGGGTAAAAGTGATTCTTTTGCCTCTTTTCTTTTCGTGCACCGCCATAACAAGCATGTTTAATGTTGCCCGGAGTTCGGCGGAAAGGAGAGGGGGGGGGGGGGGCGGCAGCTCCCTCCCCTCCCTTATACGCTTCCCCAGGACTTATCCATTAATTTCCGAATGTGTGCGCTCTGCCTAAAGTTGTGTGGAATGCTGGAACAATAATCTTCAAAATCTAGGCCTGTTAAGCGTTAGAAGGAGTCACGGCGTGTTGCGTGCGGAAGTAGCGGCAAAAGGCTAGTCTCGTGCGGAAATAATTTCTCAACTCGGTGTTTTCGCTAAGTGTTGTGTACAATTAAGCTGTTAAAAATATGCACAGTTAGGAAATGATCTTATTCCCAGGATGCGTGCCAACGTGTTACCTTCTCAATTTTGATTAAGTTATACAGATATAAACGTTGATCTATCAGACAGCAAAACTGAGCAAGACCTTCGTGGGTATGGCCACCTCTAAACTCCCGCACGCCTAGCACCCATCCGCGTTCGTGAACCAACCACGTGACGCACGGAGCAAGTACAAGATTGCAATATGTCCAGCATATTCTTTAAGCGACGGCTTACGGGACGAGACTATCGCATCAAAGTATTCCGTTTCGCTAAAAGATGTCAGATAACGTTGCAAGACATTATCACATCCGACACATGGAAAGGGAACTTTGACCAAGCATGCATGGAGACGATGACCCGAAAAACGGGCCGTTTCATGCCATTCGAGATGTTTTTCTCTCTTCTGTTGGCAAGCTTGCGTAACAACTTGTGCGATGCATCGCTAAATGTAATGACATTCCGGGATTTGCAAAACCTATTCAAGGACGAGGTCAATCCTACGATAGCGAAGCAGATGGACGAAGAAAACCGCCGGTACTTAATTCTCACCGTCAATCAACCAATGATGTAAGTAAGCTGAATAGATTAGCTAGTTAGTAGTAGCGTAGTTTCCTATGCAGTTTCGGGCTCCACCCCTCTCGCCCCCACCAACATGGGTTCTAGTTTGAGAAGCTACTTTGAGAAGCGCTTGCACGAAAAGAAGCCTTTTCAATGCTCAGCCCCCCCCCCC